TAGGTGTTCAGAATGGTTTGATCCCTATCCAGCTGAATTCCTGAGAGGAGACGAAATCCAGGTCTCCTACTCCTCCGCCATCTTGCTCCGCCCCCCCTCATAATTTTTTGATAAGGTTTATTTTATATTCTTAAAACTTTGCCAATAATAGGGAAATCTTTATTTTGCTTTTTTTTAAAAAATAGCAACTCGTTCTTATTTATAGCTATAATATGTACTCAGATATTTCTGAGACTCATCCTTCAAGTTTTAAAAGTTGTCTTCTGTTGTTTTATTTCTGTTTTCTCTGGTACTTGTTCTAAGCTGGTTATTCTGCTGGATATTCTAAAAAGCCTGCTGGTACATTGTTCTCTATAATCAAAGGATGAATAAAGGGCTGTGTAGTTGAGTGAGAGTTCTGCTTTCCTCCCTGGTAGAACAGTTAAGGGAGGCCCACTATGTGTGGATAAACTGTTAGTAGGTGTTATGGCTCACTTCATTTGTACTGCTTCAGAGGTCCTGGCCCAAAATTATTTTGCTGAAAGGAAAATTATTCTGTTGTACATTATAGATAGAATTTTATTCCTGTTTTGAATTGCTCTCAAAAATAGAGTGATTATAAAACAGTAGTTAGTATCTTATAAAAAAGAAGAAGTGAGAAAGCTGTATCTGATGGCAAAAATACAAAGAACTGAAAACTTCTTTTTTCAAATCAAACTGTGAATTTCATAAATCAGATAAATTTGTCAAAATGCTGAGGTCCTAAATGGCAAAAAATGTATTCTTGATTTTTTTGTTAAAATTTGAATTCAAAGAAGTATTTTCCACATCTGGTTATAAGTTGAGGAGCACCAACTAACTTGGCCTTGTTTTTAAATTGTCAGAATATCTGACTTATTTAAGAAGTCGATTTATTCCTGTTCTGAGAAGGCCATTCAATAAAATCAGTCCCTGAGACCATGGAAGTTTGTTTTTTATTTTATCTCTAGTTCATATTGACCACGTATAGATTGTACTGTTCTGTGATCTCTGGAAGGAGATTATGTGTTAGTATGCCCAAATGATTTGTATAGTTCTATTTTGTACTACCCATTTGTTGACCTTTATATTTGTCTGTCTATTCTTGCCTTGAAGGGAAATCCAAATGTCAAACTGGTGGAAAATCAAAGAGGACAATTCAAGGAACTCATAAAAATACTAAACAGGTACAGCATATACAACTTTCTGCTTAATTGACTTTTAATTTCAGTGAGAAAATGTAATTTTTCAGGATTTGAATATTGTATAATTTTGTCTTCATGTAAAAATTCAGTGTAGCATTCTTTAGTTAACAAATGTGTATATAGTACTGTGTGCCTAGCTAGTACTAAATACTTTACAAATATTACTTTATTTGCTTCTTGGAACAGTCTCTTCAGTGTAGGCATTGTTATTATCTTCATCTAAAAATGAGGAAACAGAGGTAAGGAGAGGTTATATAACTTGCTAGTGAGTGACACAGTGAAGATTTGAACCCAGGTCATCAATTTCTTGTTTATGCTCTTAACCCTTCTGCTACACATCCCATAATTGTGAATTTTTTTATGATTTTCTTTCTTTTTATAGTATGTCTTTAGGTTGTAGAATAGTAAAAGTATTATCTCTAAAAATTTTCAGATTGCTTCATTAAAATTTTAGAGAACACAAGCCTATTTTAAAAGTGGTTTTTAGCTTTTTAATTCATAGTTACTTTCTCTGAGCTTTTCATATATATTATTTTGGTTTGATGTTATTAAATATACCAATATGACTATGCAAACCCAAAACTTCACATAAGGAAAACATTAATTGCTAATCAAAATGTCATTGTGAGTTCATAAAATAATCCCTGACTTCTCACCTACAATGGCATCAATGATAAAAAAAAATTTAATTAAAAAGATAAAAAATTTTCAAAAATAGGATAACCATCTCTGTAGATCAGAAATAAACACACTGACAGGTAAGTGGAGTTAGGGAGACAAACTTAATGGACAAGTCTTATGGGATAAAGGAGGCTAAAATGCCCTGATTATCATGGGGAAACAAATCCAGGCACATGGTATAAAATTTTGGGCTTATGCAGGGTTTTGTACTAGGAACAAAAAAAGCTAGTCTGCCTGGTGTTATGCCCTGTGAATTGATGTCTGAAGCAGTAAAAGGAAGTGGCCCATGGTTTATGACTGGATCTGCTAGTATTCTTGATGGGTGAGAGTTTTTAGTCCCCAATAAAAGACTTGCGGAAGTGGGACCATAGTGGGCTAGGTGATGGTCACCATAACAGTAGGACACATGGAGTGAGGGTGAGCAAAGTGAAGACCTAAAATACAAGAAATTCAAATTCAAAGTAAAATATCAAAGCACACAAGGAAAATAATGTTATAAAATATAGATAACATATTCTATGAGTGAGAGAATTTACTCCTGAGGTAATGAAAAAAGGGCATTTTCCTGAAGAAGACTTTCAAATAAATTTCCTAATTTCCTCAAAGGAAAGAATAAGTATAAAGAAGAAAGAGAAATTCTGACGTAAAACAGATGGATATTAATTTTGAATATTTATAGATAAAAGTGAACCAATTAGAAAACTTATAATGAAAGTATTGTCAGTGAAATTTAAAAAACCCATAATTAATGGAATAAATGTACTGGACAAAGAGAAAATTTGTGATTTGGAAGACACTACTGAGGAGAATTTAAAACATATTGCAGAGAACTAACGAGATGGAAAATAAGAAAGAATTTAAGATTGAGAAATTCTTATATATGCTTTTTAGGACTTTTAAAAGTAGAGTGTAAATAATGGTGGGCATTGAATATTTGAAGAAATAATGTTGAAAAATTTTCTCACTTGAGTTTTGAAGAGCTTCAAAGCAAGACTCTGGAGCTGAGCAGGGTAAATAAAAATAGATTTATATACCTAGCTACATTCTAGAGAGTCTGAAGAATGTTAAGATTAAGGGAAAAAATCTATAAAAATACCAGGATGTAAACAAAACGACAGAGGAATGACAGGTTAATAGCCTTGTTTTGAACAAAGGAAAATGAAGCAATATATTTGAAGTTATAAGACAAAATTACTTCTTAAAAAAAATGCTTTCTTAATTTTATTTATTTAAGAGAGACAGAGAGCACAGAGGGAGAGGGAGAAGCAGACTTCCTGCTGAGCAGGGAGCCTGATGCGGGGCTCGATCCCAGGACCTTGAGCTCATGACCTGAGCTGAAGGCAGATGCTTAACTGACTGAGCTACCCAGGCGCTCAGACAAAATTACTTTTAACTCATAATTTTATGCCCAGCCAAGTGCAAGAATGAAATAAAGCTATTTTTAGTTATTTTAGACAAAAACTAAGTGTTTGCCACCCACCGACCCTTAATGAAGGAACTACTAAAGATGAACTTCAGCAAGAAGAAAAAGTAACGTGAAGGAAGGAACTTGTTAAAAAGGTATCTGTAGCACGTGATATGATGAGCACTGGGTGTTATACGCAACTGATGAATTACTGAACACTACATCTGAAACTAATGATGTACTATATGTTGGCTAATTGAATTTAAATTTAAAAAGGTATTTGTAAAATGTGTTTGTAAATCTCATTACCTATTGATGGTTTGAAAAAAAACTCACACAATTAGATTTAGAGAAGTGGAACTATAGTTTTAGACAATATTAACGTGAAGGCTGGATTGTAGGGAGTTTGGAAGGGAGTTAGAGTGATAAAATCCTTGTCTTATTTAGGAAGAAGTTTTTGTTAGGAAAATATGAATGTAAGTATGTATGATAAAAATATAAGGCTATCAGCTAAAAGCAGCCATGATTTCCAAATAGAGGAATATTATCAAATTGTATCCCACAATATTTGAAAAGAATGATATACCATGGGGGCGCCTGGGTGGCTCAGTGAGTTAAGTGGCTGCCTTCGGCTCAGGTCATGATCCCAGGGTCCTGGGATCGAGCCCCACATCAGGCTCCCTGCTCCGCAGGAAGCGTGCTTCTCCCTCTGCCACTCCCCCTGCTTGTGTTCCCTCTCTCGCTGTGTCTCTCTCTGTCAAATAAATAAAATCTTAAAAAAAAAAAAAATGATATACCATGACCATGTATATAAATTTAATTTTACATAACTTATCCATGAGCTGTGCTTTTTGTCTTATCTAGGAAGCCTCTCCTATCTCAGGATTATAAAGATATCTTTCTAGATAGTTTTAAATTTGTTTTCATATTTGGTCTTCAGTCCATCAACAGACTAAAAGAAGAATCACATTATCACTTCAAGAGGTGCAGTAAAAGCATTTGACAAAACTTGACACCCATTTATGATAAAAATTATCAATAAACTAGAAATAGAGGGAAACTTCCTTAACTTGATTAAAAAAATCTACAAAAACTCCTACAACTAATGTGATACTTAATGGTGAGAAACTGGAAGCTTTCCCCCAAGATCAGTTATAAGGCAAAGATGCCCCTATCACCACTGTTTTTCAACATTGTAATGGAAGTTCTAGCTAATGCAAAGACAAGAAAATGAAGGAGGGGGAAGAAATAAAACTGTCTTTGTCCACAGATGATACGATTATATAAGAAATCTGAAAGAATCAACAAAAAAAAACCCTCCTGGAACTAATAATCTGTTATAGCAGGTTGCAGGGTACAAGATTAATACACAGAAGTCAGTGGCTTTCCTATATACCAGTGATGAACAAGGGGAACTTAAAATTAAAAACACAATGCCATTTACATTACCACTCCCTCAAATTAAATACCTAGGTATGAATCTAACAATGTATATGCAAAGATCTATATGAGAAAATCCATAAAACTCTGATGAAAGAAATCAGAGAACTAAGTAAATGGAAAGGCATTCCATGTTCATGTAGGAAAAGTGAATATTGTCAAGATGTCCTTTCTTCCCAGTTTGATGTGTAGATTCAATACAATTCTCACGAATTATTGTATAGATATTGACAAACTGATTCTAAACTGTATGGGGAGGCAAAAGACCCAGAATAGCCAATGAAATATTGAAGAAGAACAAAGTTGGAGGACTGACGCTAGCCAACTTTTAGACTTACTGTAAAGCTATAGTAATGAAGGCAGTGTGGTATTGGCAAAACAATAAATAGATGATGGAAGAGAATAGAAAGCCTAGAAATAGACCCACGTAAGTAATCAGCTACTCTTTGACAGAGGAGCAAAGGCGATACAATGGAGCAAAGGTAATTTTTTTCAACAAATTGTGCTGGAACAATTGGACACCCATACATACACACAAAAAAAGAATTTAGACAGATACCTTGTGAAGGGTATAAACCCTTCACAAAATTAAACTCAAAGAGGGATCATAGACCTAAATGTGAAAGCAAAAACTATGACATTTCTGATGATAACATAGAAAACCTAAATGACCAAAAAAAAACAAAAAACAAAAAAAAACCAACCAAACAAAAAAGAAAACCTAAATGACCTTGGGTATGGTGATGACTTTTTAGATATAATACCAAAGTTTGATCCATGAAGAAATCATTGGTAAGCTAGATTTCATTAAAATTAAAAACTCTGCTCTGCAAAAGACAATGTCAAAAGAATAAGACAGGCCACAGACTAGGAGAAAATATTTGCAAAAGACATACCTGATAAGGGACTGTTATCCAAAATATACAAAGAACTCTTAAAATTGAACAATAAGATACAGTGTTACATTAGTTTCAGGTGTACTATATAGTGATACAACACTGTATGTTAACTGTACTAGAATTAAAATAATAATAAAAAAACCTCAACAATAAGAAAACAAGCAACCTGATTAAAAAACAGGCCAAAGTTCTTAACAGACACCTTACCAGAGAGGATATACAGATGGCAAATAAGCATATGAAAAGATGCTCTATATCACATGGCATCAGAGAAATGCAGATTAAAGTAACAATGAGATATTACTACATATCCATTAGAATGGCCAAAATTGGGAATACTAACAACACCAAATGGTGGTAAGGATGTGAAGCCACAGGATCTCTCATTCATTGCCTGTGGGAATGCACAATGGTACAGCCACTTGGCAGTTTATAAATTGCCAGTTTATAGAGTCATATAAAACTAAACATACTCTTACCATATAATCCAGAAGTCATGCTCCTTGGTATTTACACAAAGGAGTTGAAAACTTATATCCTCACAAAAACCTGCACATGGATATTTATGGCAGCTTTATTCACAATTGTCAAAACTTGGAAGCAACCAAGATGTCCTTCAGTAGGTGAGTGGATACATAAACTGTAGTACATCCAGACAATGGACTGTTACTCAGTGCTAAAAAGAAATGAGCTATTGGGGCACCTGGGTGGCTCAGTCATTAAGCGTCTGCCTTCAGCTCAGGTCATGGTCTTGGGGTGCTAGATCGAGCCCTGCCTCAGGCTTCCTGTTCAGCGGGAAGCCTGCTTCTCCCTCTCCCACTCCCCCTGCTTGTGTTCCCTCTCTTGCTATGTCTCTGTCTGTTAAATAAATAAATAAAATCTTTAAAAAAAAAAAAGAGCTATCAAGCTATAAAAAGACATGGAGGAACCTTAAATGTATTATACTAAGTGAAAAAAGCCAACCTCAAAAGGCTACATACTGTTTCCAACTATACCTCATTCTGGAAAGGCAAAACTATGGAGACAGTAGAAAGGTCAGTGGTTGCCAGATGTTCGGGGATAGGGATAGGGAGGAGAGAATAGGCAGAGCACAGAAGATTCTTATACAATGACAATACTATGTATAATACCGTGATGATGGATACGTGTCATTATACATTTGTCCAAACCCATAAAATGAACAACACCAAGAGTAAACTGTAAGGTAAACTGTGAACTTTGGATGATTATGATGTGTCAGTGTTGGTACATCAAGAAAGTATGTGTTCAATTTTATGTGCCCATGCATTTTTCTGCAAATAGGTTCATAAGCATTGTTAGATTCTCAAGGGAGTCAATGAGTCCTTCTGACAGAGATGAGTTAGAAATCTCAGTTTCTTCCTTCCTCTTTCCCTTTACTTTTTCTCTTTCTCTCAAAAGTCATTGAAAAAAACAATATAACATCATGGAATTCAGTTGTGTCTAACTTTTCCCACAAATTTAGATTGCTTTTTCTTCTTGAGTATCTTGGAAGTAGTAGTAAGCTGTAGTAATGGGATAATTACCTGATTTTTAATCTTGGCTTTATCACTTAGTGTGAGACCTTGGGTTCATTAATTAATTTAGCTAAACTTCAGTTTTGTCTTCTGTAAAATGGAGATAATAATGTTACCTATGATACAAAATTGCTTCAAAGATTAAATGAAGTATAACTGTATGGAAAGCATTTAGCACAGTGCCTGGCACCTGGCAAATGTGCCATGAATGTTAGATGCTGCTGCAATTACTGTTATCACTGCTATTATTTTTATCAGTGGTAGGTAAGAGCCCTATACTTTGGAACGCTATACTGACTTAACCTCTACAATTTTATTTGCCTGTTCTTCCACAAATTTGGCAATTTTGCCATTAGTTTATTCACATTTTTTTATGAGCATATTTCTTCTTCTCTTTATCTTTCCCACTATAATCGTACCTAACATTATTTAGGTACTAATTGTATGCTTAGTGCTATGTGAAATGCTTTATGAACATGGGAGCAGAAGTTGAAAGACTAGGTTCTGGTCCTAGTTCCATCACTCAACCTTTTGACTTGCTAAGAAATTCAATCTTTCTGAACCTGTTTTATCATCTACAAATGGGAATAGTAATATTTGTTCTGTCTTTAGTTGTTGTAATGATTAAACGAGATAATGTATTCAAAATTCCTTCATAAAATATAAATATGCATGCAAGTATAAAGTGTTACCATTTTGGCAAAGTTAAATATCAAATTTGTGTAGCACATTGCCTTTCAGATGGAATTATGTAACTGTAGTTTTTGTCTTACTGGCATCTTTCTTTGTAAAAGCTTCGCATAGAGCAATCACAAAGAATAGAAACATTTTAACCTGGAAGCAGTGGTGCCTATTTTACATTGTAAGAAAGGATGGTAAAATATTTGATGCATGATAAGGTACATACATAAAGGGGTGAAAATGAGTGAAAGTACTTTTGAGAATTCCATAAGACCTGAGTCTGAATTCACAGGAATTTACTAGCCCTTTGCTGATTGATGTAGAAAAACTTCATGAAGGAGGTATAATTTGGGAAACTTCTCAAGTTAATTTTAACTTTGGATGGTGTCTAGGAAGAGTAATGAGGTAGTCTGGAATATCTGGTCAAGTGCTGGCGGCACAGGCCCGAGGCAGTATAATGGTAAGCCGGCAGTGTTACTGTAGAGCTGTAATGGGAAGGTGGTCTCCTGTGGCTAGATGATCTTTGACAAATGAGTTATTAGCCTCGGAGCCTGTTTCCTAAACTGTAAAGTGGAGCTAATAATACATATTTTAAAGATTGTGTGAAGGAGGTTAGAAGATTATGTGAAGTTGATTTATGATCTGTAATCCTGTATAAATTGCTAATAGCTGTCACAGTTATCAGGAGAGTGGACAGAATTAAGCTTTACTTCAGGATAGATGCTATTTGAATGGGATTTTGAATTTGGTTAATCCAAGGAGGGGATATTTGCCATAATAATAAAATGATTTACACTAGGGCTGGAAAGAACTTGGAGAGCAATTGAGGCAAAGGTTTTATGGATTGTTAACATTATTTTAAATTTTATTGCTTGACTATTGAGAATTTGGACTTGGACCATGGCTATCCCATAAAATATTTGCTAATTTTCATTTGTGAAATCTGGCAACCCTAGTCTGGATGGGGCACTGTGGAGGGAGGACAAGTAACTCCATCTGAGCCTCTCAAGCGTGTATAGTATCTGTGTGCGTACATGTGTTTTGTCTGCTTCCTTTTTGCTGGTAAAGATTCTATATAAATCAATGATTGGCTATAAAAGATTTATGAAGTTTAGGAATCACTTATATTGAAGGCCAAAGCCTAAAACAAAGCAGGAGGGTATTAGCCTCTATTTCAGATACTCTCCACTCTGGGGCTCTTCTATGAAAAAGAAAAACAAGCAAACAGGAATGATACACACATACAAAACAACCCAAAGAAACCTGGTATTGTTTGTTGCTCTAACTGTAGTAGAGGTTTAGTATTTATTTATTCTTCAGTTTAAGTAGCCACAGAGAGATAAGCAACTCTTTTGTACTTCTAGTGAGAAGCTTCAGGTTTGCATTTTGAATTTCAGTCCTTATGTAAACTACATGCTTTTTGGTGGAATGATTCTGTGGTACAGTCTGTAAAACTATAGAATGTAATCTTTATTTTCAAAGTTTGCCTGTGCAACTGAGGAAAGAATGGGTCCTTTAGTGGTCCTTTTTGACTGAGGGTCTGTTCACTGTTGAAGCCATGCTAATCTTCAGTAAGACATGTCTGAAATAAAAAATGACCTTACAAACCTGATGCTTTTTTAAGATGAGAAGCTTTGTTTTGATAAATTCATTGTGATATAAGATAAAAAGAAGAATGTCTCGTTTTTAAGTATTTATTTTGAAAAATGTGCTTTATAAAAAAATCCAATCCCTGGTGGCTTTTAAGAAATTTTTTTTTTATGTTTTGTTTTATTTCACCAGAACGCTGCAGTAGACTGTAAAATAACATCATCTACAACTGGAGATAAACACTTTGATAAAAGTCCCACTAAAACAAGGCATCCTCGGAAAATTGATCTAAGAGCTAGATACTGGGCATTTCTTTTTGACAATCTTCGCCGAGCAGTAGATGAAATCTATGAAACTTGTGAATCAGATCAGAGTGTGGTAGAATGTAAGGTAAGGTTTGCTTTGAGACTTTGTAATCCATTTAAAGCCAAATTCTCCCATTTTTATTACACCTGACCATATCATTTAACATCAGTATGCAATACTGTATTAATAACTGTAGTCACCATGCTGTACAACTTACTCATCTTATAACTGAAAGTTTGTACCCTTTGACCAACATCTATTTTCCCCACTCCTTGGAACCACTGTTCTACCCTGCTTCTATGAGTGCTTCATGTTTTTTTGGTTTTGATTTTTTGAATACTCTTGTTTTTTGCATTATCTAATTATGTAATGTTCAAGATTTGGTACATAGTCCTGGGCAAGAAATCATAAAAGATGAATATGCACACAAACCCCCATGATACGCAAAATTATTTTTAAAAATCTCTCCTATCTGCATTGTCCAGTACTGTAGGTGGCACTAGTGAGATTTTGACATTCTTTGGTTTCATGTTTAATGTCTTTAATTGGACATTGCTCCCTTTCTGCTGAGATACTTATCACTCTTCTAATTCACTGTGGTCAGGGAAAAGTGAGATTGATAGCTAACCATAAACAGTCCTGGGTGGGATTGGGATGTCATTGTAAGGTGTATTTTCTAATTTCAGATAACCTTGTGTTTGTAATAGGATATTAGATACATAGTGCAATCTGTCTCTGAAAATACACTAAAAAGCCTGGTCTTTTAGAAAATAGAAACTATATACTATATTACTTTATACTGAACAAAATTATTTTGAGAAAAACCAGAGTGATACATCTTCAGAGAAATATTACACAGTTAGCTTGTGTTTCTACAGTGAACAGGACTGAAAACCCTGGCATTCAGTATTTAACTTATGAAATATATGAAGGGTCAAAGAAAAGTTACGTGTTGAAACAGCAGCTGTGTCTCCTCTAAAATTTGAAACAGCCAAAATAGGTTTTAGAATAGCCTAAAAATATGATTCATCAGATGCAGATTTCAGAATGAACAGTAACTGAAATCCTCCAAATTTATAGTTTGGTTGTCACAATTAATATTGTTACTATCACCATGTGAAATTTTTTACATTTTAAGAAAGTAAGTTTAAACAAAATCATAAGCTTGGAGTTTAATGAATCAGCATGTTGTGGTAGAAAACACTACTGACCTTAATTTAATTTTATTTTATTTTTTAAGATTTTATTTATTTATTTGAGAGAGAGAGAATGAGAGACAGCACGAGAGGGAGGAGGGTCAGAGGGAGAAGCAGACTCCCCGCTGAGCAGGGAGCCCGATGTGGGACTCGATCCCGGGACTCCAGGATCATGACCTGAGCCGAAGGCAGTCGCCTAACCAACTGAGCCACCCAGGCGCCCTCACTACTGACCTTAATTTTAGATTATAGTTTCTTCTATAAAAAAGTGAACATATGGGCCTAGATAATTTCTAAGTTAGCCATACAGATCAGTTAGATCAGAGATTCTTTGATTTTTGTAATTAAAAATAACAAAAGGTTGATTGAAGAAATAAAATTTGTTTATAAAATGTGTACTTCTTTACAGAAGTGAATTTGACCAATTGCAATCATGTTTCTGTGATGAGCAGAGACCCTTGTACCTGTCTGAATTTCTGGCTCTCTCATCCATCTACCAAAGCTTTCTTGGTGAAAATTCAGTAATAATAGATTTTTTTTTTTTTATGCAAGTTGTAGATCACAAAAATGGAGAACATTTTGACAAAGGGAGAGTAGTAGAGATGTGTTCTTTATTTTTTGTACTGTTCTGAGATGCTCAAAGGCTATGCCGAGAAATAAAATGAGAGCTTAAAAGTTATTTTATTTTTTTATAAGATTTTTATTTTGAAGTAATCTCTACACCCAGCGTTGGGCTCAGACTCACAACACCGAGATCAAGAGTTGCATGCTCTTCCGACTGAGCCAGCCAGGTGCCGCTTAAAGTTATTTTCATACCCAGCTCTGCTTCTTTCTCCACCCAGGACATATAGGTGGTGATATAAAAAGATATAGTTTACCATTTGGTCTAAACATATGCTGGGTATATGATAACTAGAATTCTTTTTTTATTTTTGTCTTGCTCTGTTTTCAGTATAAAAACAATTATCCCTTATCTCATTTGATTTATCTCTGTGAAATCCAAAACCCAGAGGGTTTTCCTCACTGTCCAGGTAGATTGAACCCTTGTTTTGTGGATGCACTGACAAGATTTATCCCTATTTGTGGTTTTTGTGTTTTAGTCTTGTAACGTCATCACAATTCAGTTGTTTGTCTCATGTGTAAAATGCAGTTGATAACATCTGTATTATGTAATTCACATGCTAAGTATAGCATGATATGGAAAGTATCTTTTTTATTTCAGCTAGGATTATTGACCAGAGCCCTGCTCTATAATCAGAAGAGGCTAAATTTCTAGTTGTGTTTTTTTTGTTTGTTTGTTATTTAGTCTGAACATGTGCCTGTTATGCCTCTTCACTGCATGAATTACTACAAATTGACATTCCAGCAAAACTGTACTCTAACCATCACCACTGCATTTCCCCTTCTCCTTTATAAAGAGTTGGGCTAGAGGATGGGTGAAGGCCTTTTAGAGAGTACCCAGTTAATGAAGTGGTAGCCATCCTCTCACAAAAGTTTGAGGTGGGGTTTGAATTTCTTGTAAAGTTTGTGAGTGTGGCTGCAAGAGTGAGAGACTGGCTTCTTATTCTCTGGCTGGATCTTTGCTGTGATGACTGATTTTGATTGCTTTTGGAATGTGTCCATCGAGTTTGCGGGATAGCATGATGGGTACAGATTGTACTTTCTTTTCCTTGTTTCCCATTTTAACCCAGGGGAAACTGGATGTGTGGATCAGGAATATTGGATATAGAAGCTGGTGTATACATCTCCTTTAGAGATTTCATAACACAATAGGCTTGCTGGAGTAGCTCATGGGTAGTATGCCTTGGAAGGAGATGGGATGTGAGTTCTCAGTAATCAGGTAAAGTGGAACCGCAGTGAGTCTTGTGATTTATGTGAAGGAAGAAGTGTGGACATTGGTGAAGATGTTGGAGTCATAGGGGCTTTCTATGGGGGCACTTGATTAGATGAGAATATGCAAAACAGTGGTGGGGGGACAGATACTACTGGGGCAGAGGGAGCCAGGGTGAACCTGAACACTGCTTAGAGAACCACATATGCTACCTTTGCAGAAATCACCATGTACTGCAGAGATCAGTAGAGACCACTGACCTCAGATTGAGTCAGAGAAAGATTAGGGATATATTTCTGCCTGGCAGCACTTGACTCTCTTGGCAGTCAGCATCACTGGAGAAGGACAGGCTGATGACTGTAGCAGACCCATCACTAATATCTGGTCAACTCTTGTAAGTTGAATATTGCTCTGTTCCCACAGCTGCTACATATGGCAAAAGATAGAAGCTTGTGAATGTAGGAGAGTGAGAAGAAGAGTACAGGGGAAGAAGAAGGGACCCAGTGAGAATAAGCCATGCCCCTCTCCACCACAGGCATCTGCTAAAAATCATGTAATTCTCACTTGTCCTTAATAGGCGGGTTATCTACAGATAGGATTTTAAAACCTTTGATAATTCAATATAACTGAAAAATTGTAGAGTTACCTGAGCATACTCAGCAGGTTCAGTATTCAACTTAGTATTCAACCAAGGTTATAGGGGAAAAACATAAAAGTATTCTTTGTTTATATCTCAATGAGTTGAAATTTCTCAGTTCAACAAATAAGGATCAAAGTGAGATGTGAGAAAATGTTTTTTGAAAGGTGTGACATGGAGGTCTGTGTCCAAAATGGTGGAGAAGTAGGAGCCCTTAGTTTCATCTGGACCTAGGAATTCAGCTGGATAGCTATTAAATCATTCTGAACACCTGCGAACTCAACCAGAGATCTAAGAAAAGAATAGCTGCAAATCTACAAATAGAAAAGCTACCACTTTCTGGAATAATGACAAGATGGAAAAACTCACCTCAAAAAAGAGAACAAGAGGCAGTATTGACTGCCAGGGACCTAATCAGTATGGACATAAGTAAGATGTCAGAACTAAAGTTCAGAATAATGATTATAAAGATATTAGCTGAGCTTGGAAAAAGCATAAAAGACAATAGAGAATCCCTTTCTGGAGAAATAAAAGAACTAAAATCTAACCAAGTCGAAATCAAAAAGGCTATTAATGAGGTGCAATAAAAAATGTAGGCTCTAAGTGCTAGGATAAATGAGGAAGAAGAGAGAATTAATGATACAGAAACTAAATAATGGAGAAAAAAGCAGAGAAAAAGAAAGATAAACAACTACTGGATCACGAGGGGAGAATTCGAGAGATAAGTGATACCATAAAGCAAAACAATATTAGAATAATTGGGATCCCAGAAGAAGAGGAAAGTGGGGGCAGAAGGTATCTTGGAGCAAATTATAGTGGAGAACTTCCCTAATCTGGGGAAGGAAATAGGCATTCAAGTCCAGGAGGCACAGAGAAACCCCCTCAAAATCAATAAAAATAGGTCAACACCCTGATGTATAATAGTGAAACTTGAATCTCAGAGACAAAGAGAAAATCCTGGGAAAGCAGCTTGGGACAAGAGGTCCGTAAACTACAAGGGTAGAAACATTAGACTGGCAGCAGATCTATCCACAGAGACCTGGCAGGCTGGAAAGTACAGGCATGATATATTCAGGGTGCTAAATAAGAAAAATATGCAGCCAAGAATACTTTATCCAGCTAGCATGTCATTCAAAATGGACAGATTAAAAAAAAAAACTTCCAGGACAAACAGAAACTAAAAGAATATGTGATCACTAAACCAGCCCTACAAGAACTATTAAAGGAGATCCTTTAAGCAAAGAGAGAGCCTAAAAGTAACATAGACCAAAAAGGAACAGAGACAATATGCAGAAACCGTGACTGTACAGGTAATAGGCACTAAATTCGTATCTTTCAATAATTAACTCTGAATGTAAATGGGCTAAATGCCCCAATCAAAAGACATAGGGTTTCAGATTGGATAAAAAAGCAAGACCTA